TCTGCTGCACTTAAGGTTCCGAAGAGCACAGTGGCCTCCATTCCTTAAATGGAAGACGTTTGGGATGACCAGAACCCTTCCTAGAGCTGGCTGTCCGGCCAAACTGAGCTATCGGGGGCGAAGAGCCTTGGTGAGAGAGGTAAAGAAGAACCCAAAGATCACTGTGGCTGAGCTCCAGAGATGCAGTTGGGAGATGGGAGAAAGTTGTAGAAAGTCAACCATCACTGCAGCCCTCCACCAGTTGGGGCTTTATGGCAGAGTGGCCCGATGGAAGCCTCTCCTCAGTGCAAGACACATGAAAGCCCGCATGGAGTTTGCTAAAAAACACCTGAATAAGATTCTCTGGTCTGATGAGACCAAGATAGAACTTTTTGGTCTTAATTCTAAGCGGTATGTGTGGAGAAAACCAGGCACTGCTCATCACCTGTCCAATACAGTCCCAACAGTGAAGCATGGTGGTGGCAGCATCATGCTGTGGGGGTGTTTTTCAGCTGCAGGGACAGGACGACTGGTTGCAATCGAGGGAAAGATGAATGCGGCCAAGTACAGGGTTATCCTGGACGAAAACTTTCTCCAGAGTGCTCAGGACCTCAGACTGGGCCGAAGGTTTATCTTCCAACAAGACAATGACCCTAAGCACACAGCTAAAATAATGAAGGAGTGGCTTCACAACAACTCTGTGACTGTTCTTGAATGGGCCAGCCAGAGCCCTGACTTAAACCCAATTGAGCATCTCTGGAGAGACCTAAAAATGGCTGTCCACCAACGTTTACTATCCAACCTGACAGAACTGGAGAGGCTCTGCAAGGAGGAATGGCAGAGGATCCTCAAATCCAGGTGTGAAAAACTTGTTGCCTCTTTCCCAAAAAGACTCATGGCTGTATTAGTTCAAAAGGGTGCTTCTACTAAATACTGAGCAAAGGGTCTGAATACTTAGGACCATGTGATATTTCAGTTTTTCTTTTTTAATAAATCTGCAAAAATGTCAACAATTCTGTGTTTTTCTGTCAATATGGGGTGCTGTGTGTACATTAATGAGGAAAAAAAATGAACTTAAATGATTTTAGCAAATGGCTGCAATATAACAAAGAGTGAAAAATTTAAGGGGGTCTGAATACTTTCCGTACCCACTGTATATACACACATTTTTTTTGTCTTGACAATTTAATTGAGTAAAATGACATGTTTTCAGTTTCGATTGAACTTCAGTAGAGTAAAAATTCCTCAAAATAATACGCAAGTACTGTACAGTTATGAAGAACAATTAGTATTTACACTCCTGTCATTTGCCGTGAGTCAAATAAAACAGACCTTTATTGTTAAGAACACAGAGTCATCATCCTTTTTGCATTTTTGCACTCAATTATTTTTATTATGTGATGTATTAATGCCATGAATGCTATTAAAATTATGTGTCTGTCTTTTTTTTTCAACAGATTAACATGAAAACTATGCCTGCCATCATGTTCAGGTTGTTAACTGGTCAAGAGACTCCGGTGTACATATAAGGAATCATAAAACTGGGACTTTTTCCTGCAATTAAAAAAAAGGTTTACAGCTCCTCCTAAAACAAAAACAAAAAAACTCTCTGTCTTGCATCATATGGGTGTAGACTGCATGTAAAGATCGTTAGAAAGAGTGCAAACATTCACACAAAGAAAACCTAATCACATAATCTGATCAAAGGAGTGATGTTATTTGCTTATTAATGCAATTATACAGATAGACTTCCATGCCAGACTTATTAGTTTGTATATATGTTAAATGCCTTTGGTTCAAGCCTTTTTTGAGTTCTTAAGCTAGCAAGCTAGCAAAAAATTAAAAATACCAAGTGACTGTACTAAAGTTCACTAAATCAATAAAGTAGGTTGTCATCAATAGATTTATAGATTTACAATACTCATTTCACAAACTCAAAGATTAACAAATGGACTAAAGCATGCTAAAAATCCAAAGATAGCTGTTTACATTTGCTGAACATGCTGCATTTGAGTTCTTCTGGCTGTCTTCAGTGTCTCTGTGATAAATGGGTCCTGTACACTGTGAATGGACCATTTCTGTAGATTACTACTTCAGCATGCCGGACTTGAAGACGGAAAATATACTAATTAGACAACCTGAGCTGCATTCATGTTTATGCATGATAAAAAAAAAGTGTTATTTTAGTATCATTGAGATTTTTGAATTCGATTTTGTGTATTTTCTGTTTTGATTTTAGTTTTTTTTTAATGTCTGTATAGTTTATAGAATTTATACAGGTGTAGTTATTTTAGAACTTCAATTTAAATTTTCATATAACTTCAATTTAAGTCTTTTTCATATATATTTGATTTCAATTCATATTTATTTAAGTAATGAACAGGTTTTTTATGGTTATGTTAGCTAATGATGTGTGTGTGCATATGAATGACTTATAAATTAATTATTTTAGAATTAAAAATCAAATTTCCTATGAACTTCCAAATTCAGATGGCTCACACATTGAAAAATAAATCGATGCAGACTACATGTTAAATGTAACAAATTATGCTCATATGGTTATGAATTCACTCTTGGTATTGCCAAATGTTATCTCATTTGACTAAAAAGAACTGTAACACAAATAATGAAAATAGACAGATTGTAGAATTTGTATTTTATTTTTTTGCATCATGTACATATATACATATGAATATGCAGTTTGTATAGAACAGCTGGATCAGTAACAATTCTAGATATACAGCTGCTCCCAGCAATTCAGTCTGTAAGTTTTCAAGTAGTAGTTGTGGATGGCAGCACACAGCCCCTCAAAGTCTCTGTTAAAATTGGGGGGGGACACAAAAACAAATATAAATCTAATTTAATCAAGCAGCAAGGACAGGGAATTTTAAAACAATGACACAATTTTGGTGTAATTAGTTATATGCTTGTTGTATGGAAAAGAGCAGCATGAATATTCTTCAGAACATCTTCTTTTGTGTTCCACGGAAGAAAGAAACTCATTCAGGTTTGGAACATCATGATTGTGAGTAAATGATGACCAAATCTTTTTTCTTTTCAGATAATGTTAATGCAAATGCCTTTATTTGTGCTTTGAAACGTACTGTTAATGTAGTGATCTGCTGAGACAAGGAGACATTCTCTGTCTGTGTGTTGTCGTCATAGATCACTCCCTCTAGAAAGCCTGAGTTGAGGTAGCCTTCACCAGTATGGGATTCGTCGTCCTCATTGTCCACGCCTACACTGAATACCTCCCTCATCCTCGCAGGAAACAGACAGTCCAGTAGCACCACCATCAAACCAATCACAGCGCACAGCAAACCTGAAAATAATCGGCAAACACACAAAAAAAGATTCTTCATTGGCATTGATGGTTCCATGAAGATCATCCATAGAACCTTTTCATCACACAAAAGGTTCTTTATAGTGGAAAAATGTTCTTCAGATTATTTAAATGTACTTCACACTTCAAGGTTCTTTGGGGAATTCAAAAATGGACCTATGACTGTGAAAACCACCTTCTGGAACTTTTATTTTGTTTTAAAGTGGAATATTCTAACTCTTAAAATAAAGGTTTGAACGGATGCCATAGAAAAAACAAAGAACCCTCCCGTGAACAGTTCTTAAAAGAACAACTTTTCTTAAGAGTGAAGAACATTTTAATAATCTAAAGAACCTTTTTTCCACTATAAAGAACCTGTGGAATGAAAGCTTCCATGGATGTTAAAGGTTCTTCATGGAACCTCAGATGCCAATAAATAACCTTTATTTTTAAAAGTATATATTGCACAAAAAGGTTACTCAGACTAAAAATAAAACTGGTTCTGTTCACCCAAAATGGTTCACCAAAAGTATTGTCACCACATATTACATCTATATCATTTGATATTGTATTTTATATGATTTCCAAGTCAAAAACTTTTGAAAGTGGTACGCTTTCCCATAAGGAGCATTTACCTGTAGCCAAAGCGATCCAGAAGGAATGGCTATAGTCTGTCCTTAAGGACTCTGCACCTATACTGAAGTCACATGGGATCACACTGAATATAGTTGAGAAGGAAGCCATGGAGAAGAAAATGAAAGCAGCCGTGGCTATCATCATGTAACCGGCGTAGAGGATGACAGGCATTGAGAAGAGGATATTGGCCACCAGCCAGCAGCAAAAAGCCGTCCTGTGGGAGAAGGCCATTCTGTACTTTAGCTTGTTTGCATTTGTTGAATAGGACAGGGTTTCTTTACACTACAGTAAGACATTGGTGTGTTGGTTTACCACAGATTGGCTGTGGCGAAGCGGCCCGAGTATCTGTACTGGTAGATGAGGCCGCAGGCGCTGTTGCGAGTGAACTTCTCTGCGATGTAAAGGATGGGGTTGGGAAGACCTCGCTCCAGTGCATCACCGTACTGCTCGTCCACACTGCTCGACCACCTGAAGATCTCGTTGTAGTCAATGGTCTCATTTATCTGCGATACTGGGTCGCCTGTTGGAACGGATATGGAAAGACCCCATGAAACCTGAATTGGACTCATAATCTTCTTGAGAAGTGGACCACAAATATTGACGACTCATACGGTTTACCTTTGAGTGTTATGTTTATTCCATACAGCCCCACATGAAGTCCGACTTCAGCGGACACCACTGCATTACTGAAGGATTTGTAGGTGGTGTTTGCCTTCACGCTGGCTTCAGCCCAGTCTCCAGTAAAATTCAACACTGAAGTGGACAAGAAGATCATGGAATGAAAATGTAGGCTATGTTACTCAATTTCAGCAGCTCTTATGTAATGACACGAGATAACTGGACTTAATGGGATATTTCATTCTATTGTTCCAGTTGAATTTTTAGGCTCTTACTCACACTTAAAAACTGCATGAATGCAATTGCATTATGTAACAAATATGTCAAACCAAACCAATTAAATTTAATTATCAGCTTATCTTTGGTTAAAAGTCATCGAAAAACTGGCGAGGTTAGAGAAAAGCTCTAGCAGCATTTTGTTGTCTAATGCAATATAATTCATGCATTTTAAATTCAAGTTAAATAGGAAAATATTTTTTGAGGCCAATATAAACATATCTAGCAACAACTTGATTTCCAGATTAACTTGAAAAAAATACTTGAAATACTCACCTACTAAAACAGCTCCAATAAATAAACTAATGATTATCCTGAACATCCAGAACAGTCTCTGAAAAAGAGGACATTTTATTTTAAATTCTTTTTTTTCACACAAATTGACAAAATCTTTGCCATTTTTTATACATCTTTGACTGATATAAAGAGATGATGTAAAAGACTTCACGCTAGGTTTGTAAATTAACAAGGGTAGTGAAATGTCAACTAAAATGACAACAACAAAAAAATACCCCAGATATATAATTTTACTGTAAATGGTGTTACTGTACAGACCCTGATATTTAAAAAAAAAAAAAATAACACAGAAAAGTAGTCATTCAAAAATTCACATATTTGTAAAAATTGAAGGAAAAAAAAGAAATAAATAGGCTACTTTTAGTTATATTAAATATGCTTGACATCTCAATTCAAGGTACAATGAATCACCTTGATGGTTACACAATTTGACATTTTTAGAGACATTCCTGAAGGCATAAACTTTTTTCCCCCAAAATAAAACCATTATGAATACAACTATTAGCCATTTAAGAGCTTGGCGCGTATTTTAACCTATAGCCTACATTTTTAAAAGCTCTCACCCTTCAATCATGTCACATCCATTTATCATTGACCCTTATTAGAAAGCTGTAGATACAGAAAAGCCTTCTAGACAAACTGATGCAACTCACTCACCGATTTGCCACGTATTCCCGGTAGAATGAAGAGGAAACCGACGGCCAGAACCGAGAAAACCAGGACCACGACCAGCAGGCTGGTGTCGACGATGAACGGGCTCCTTTGTAGCGAGTAAAACGGGTAAATGCCATCGTAGAAAGTCATCTTCCCTCCACAGGCGAGAACTAAAGCTGAAAGCAGGACAGTGTTGGCCAGAGGCTCAGTTACCTGAAGATTGCAGATTACAGTCTAGTGTGCGAATTATACAGTAACTTTCAGGGGGGCCGATATACTGTTGAAGTGCGCCTATAGCGAAATCCGTCCTCGAGCTGATTTTTGGTCGCTATTTATCGGCAAATGAAATTCGCACTCTAGCTTTAGCTATAAAATGTTTAGTTCATCCCTGTTTAAACAAATGCTTGTGGTTAAAAAGAAAATGTGCTTTTTAACAGATTCGAAATTTGTTTCCTTCATGAGAATTCAAATATCGGGAAACGACCCCCATAACTCGGCCCATCTCTCTCACACATCTTCACTCTTCAGATCAGTCGTTAAAATCTATAAAATTACTTGCAATACATCACAGAAAGCACAACTCATACAGCAGCCGCAGCGTTATAATGCAAATGATCCCGCTCAGGTAACCGGTCCAGGTAAGCGCACCTTGAGGTGATTGTTACCGTGAATGAGGATACTTTGATAACCGTACATCAAAGGACATCGGATCTTCCTTCACAGTCTCACAGAACTGGATGTTACTTGATAGACATTTAGAAATCAATACCCAACCACAATGCCGCATTGCAACTCACCTGTGGATGCAACGAGAGCCGCGAAACAACACGGAAAAATATGAGTCCTGGAAATAGGATGATCCTCTCGGCGCTCATCTTTTAAACGATCGCACTTCCTAATAAAAGCTTTGATTTGCATTGATTGGTATTCTCAAAGAGAGGTGTCAACCGCTCATGACCAGCCCTTCAACATAAACTCAGTGTGAAGCAGGTGTGGATGTGGGTCGGACTCTCATTCTGTCACTGACTCTTCCTTTTATTTTCGCAGCCATCCGATCTATTCGCGAACAGGTGAGGTCTGCTATTCTGTAGACAGGCGTGACTGTATTTTCACTTTAAAAAAGTTTGCTTGAACACACAGCAGTTTTCTGTAGTTCAGGAGAAGAGGTGCTTCATTGGTCTGCAAGAATGGGTTTATGTGAGCTACTCTTAAGGACTTTAACTGCATTGTCTGTTCTCTGTCAAGCTATTGGTGAGTATAAGACTATCTATCTATCTATCTATCTATCTATCTATCTATACACTGAAACCATTTTCACTCAGAAATTGCTAGTAAATTTCACAAAGAATTACAAAGAATTGGCAATTAACATTGAGTTTAATGTGAAATTTTGAAGTAAAAAGACTAAAATAGTATTTTCTTGTGGAACTTGTTCCAATAATCTTTGTTTTAATTGCAACTTTGAAAAATAATTTTTACTATCTATCTGTCTGTCTGTCTATCTATTGCATTTTGAAATTGTAAAAACTACTTTTAATATATTTGAACCCCCTTGTTTAACTGCTCTCTCAAATGTTTGATGCAGTTTTAATTAGAAAAATGACAGTATTTTTATTTTATTCTTGGTCTCAGGCTTTTGAACCTCACTTTGTGCGTATATGAAAACACATTAATTTCCAGCTGTTTGAATACTCGTTACACTATTCATCAACTAAATGTGTTAAACATTATGTAACATACTAATACGAGTTATTGTTATTCATGAAAATGAACATTCAGTCAAGGTTATTCCAAATATTTTCCTCTATTTTTCAAATTAAAAAGTAGTGGCAAAAATCTCATTGTCAAAAGAATAGCTTTTTTGGGGTTATTTTTTCTTTAATCTTGAATATTTATTTATTTTACATCATAACTATTCTTGTATTTATTTTATTTTATTTTTGAGGGACATTTTAGGATGTAAGTTGGATTTTGAATTCTAGATAAATCCTAGGTATATTTTAAGCACAGCTTGAATTTGCATGAAATAAATGAATTCATCATTAACTAACATTATATGATGATTCACATTTATTATAGTGTTGCCAAACTCCCTTTAATCTTGAACCAAACAGGTGCCAATTCTGCCATTACCTGGGAAGTTCAAAGGTATGATGGGTGGTACAATAATTTGGCAGATCACAATCGAGGGGCTGCAGGTGAGTGAATTCATACTTCTTTTAGGTTTCTACAAAAAAAGAAAGAAAGAAAGGAACATCAGGATATTGTCCTTACAGATGCAGCACTGGTCCGTCTCTTTCCGGCGCAGTACACAGATGGCGTTTATCTGCCCCGACAGGAACCGCACCTGCCCAACCCCCGCCAGATAAGCAACACAGCCATGATTGGCCAATCCGGTCTCATGTCCTACAGGAACAGAAGCGTTCTCTCTGTGGCATTCGGTGAGTGATGCTTTCATTTAAACAAGGTGTAACCTGTTGATTGAAGAGCCAGCCCTTTAATTATAATGTCACATCATTTAAATAAATGTTCAGTAAAGGCTTCCTGAGTGTCATTTACCTTAAAGGGATAGTTCATCCAATAAAAATAAAGTTTGACAATTTATTCACCCTCATGCCGTTCCAGTCCTTTCTTTCAAAAACAAAGAAATTGCTAGTAACTCTTTTCCATGCAATTACAATGAATGGTGACTGGAACCTTCAAGCTTCAAAACAGATGCAAAAGCACTATAAAATTACTCATTCACTGTATTATTATCTTATGGGCTTGGTCTGCTGTGGAAAAGACTGTTATAAATCCACCCTGGTTCACCTCAAGTCCATGAAAGGAGTAGTAATGTCCAGTTTATAAGGAATCGTTCTTCTCTTTGAGTCAGATCTTGAAGTGATATGTTGTGAAAATGATTCATTCACAACTGAATCAGTCAATTGGAATAGCACTTATTTTTGAATATGATTGAGAAAATAATTTGATTCAAGTGTTTACATGCTTAATTTTTTCCTGTTGGATTATTTCAGTTTTACACCACCCTTTCAATCTAATTGAAATTTCATTTGGCTCAAGCTTAGATGGGATATTTCACTCAAAAATGAAAATTACTCCATGATTTACTCACCCCCCCCCCCCCCCCCCCCCCCCCCCCCCCTACAATCTGAGTTATATTAAAAAAATAACTTCTTTCACAAGAAAGTGGCATTCCAGTGATTGAAGTAGGACAGAAGTGAAGTGAAGTGAAGAGAAGTGATGAACGCGGAAGCGCAGAGGAGAGAGCAAAACAAAACACTGGTCACGAATTAGAAGTACAAAACGAGGATTTGTAAAGAAGAATGTAAAGAGGAGACTGGTTTTCCTTTGCTGTAAACAAAACTTGGTTCTGGTGAGACTATCATATTCTCACCACAGCTCACGCTACGCCTACATCCTACTTCATCTTCTGGAACAAGATCCTCTTGTGAACACGCGTACGATAGTTAGCGGAAGCTAGAGATTATGGTTTATTAAGTTTTAAATATGGATATTTTCCTACACAAATGCATCGATTCACTTCAGAAGGCCTTTATTAACCCCCCAGAGCCTTGTGGAGCACTTTTTATGATGGATGGATGCACTTTAATTTCCTTCAAAATCTCAACAGCCATTCACTGCCATTATAAAGCTTGGAAGAGCCAGGATATATTTTAATATAACTCAGATTGTATTCATCTAAAAGAAGAAAGTCATATACACCCAGGATGGCTTGAGGGTGAGTTAATCTTGGGCTAATTTTCATTTTTGGGGTGAACTATCCCTTTAGGGTTTCAGTTAAGTCTTTTCAGTCTGACTGAGCCATCAGTCCATCAATAAACAGATCATTTGGGTGCATGTAGACGTAGCTAGTGGTAAACAAGTTTAAAGGGGTAGTTCAGCCAAAAATGAAATTTGCTGTTTATTTAATCACCCTCAGGCCATCAAGATGCAGGTGACTTTTTTCTTGAGTGTAACAGTAAAGAAGATTTTGTTTTTTAGCTGAAGCCACGGTCCTTAATGATTGATGAATTAAGCGGACACCGTCATTTTGAGAGTCAAAAACGCAAATCAGGGAACACAAAATGTAATACCCGTGGCTCCTGATGAGATATTGAGGTCTTGTGAAGCAAAACGATCGATCTGTGCAAGAAATTGAATGTTATTTACAACATTATTAGCTGTAATCCAGAGGCAAATGGAGAAATTTGATTATTTTCCCGCGAACTGATTCTTTCGGACAGTTGGTTTCAGTGAACTGCTTCAAATAACTGATTAATCAGTTTATTTATGCAATGACTTAACGTATGCACAAATATATTATTAAAGCACCCAATAATGGTGTGTAACATGGATATTTTACATGTCTAAAGCATATAAAGTAAATAGTCTTCATTAGCACACCTTTTTACATAAGCAAAGAGAAACCATAAAAACTTTAATTTGGCCTCTTCATTCAAGTGCTCGGTTCACGCATGCGCATATCAGGGGCTCGTCGGTCTTCAGTTGTAACATTTTCCTCAGTTCACTGACTGTTAGAGTAACTGGAGTGCTGAATCAGTTGGCAAAACCAGCATCATATGATCAGATATGCCGGTATTTTGGCTCATTTCGAGTCGGAGTGACTGTCAGGCATCTGAAAGTGAGTTTTGATTAACTGCTCGAATCTGTGGTGCTCGAGCTGCGAACTGTTTCAGATGGTTCAGTCCTATCTATTCACTGTTACTCTGTTAAGACATTTAAACCCTTTTTAGAGTTCAAGGATTTCAGTAGATGTTTTCCTAATATTGACTAATTTTGTAAAGGATCAATGAGAATTTGATTCCTTATGATGGCCACTCTTTATTACTACATTAGGTTACCATGTGTTGTCTGAGATCTCAGAATCACGAATACCTGGTTGCCCACCTGAGTTCATGCATATTAAAGTCCAAAAAGAAGATCCCATCTTTGGCTCTAACTCTTCGCAACCGATCCTGCTTCAGTTCCAGAGAGCAAAGTGGAATCCAAGCACGGGCAAAAGCCCCAACAATCCCCGCACACAGGTGCGTATGAAGCCAGTATAGACTGTATGGGATTTATAATGGACCTGCTGAGTTTTTGATCTACCCAAATTCATTTCAGGTGAATCACGTGACAGCGTGGATAGATGGCAGCTCCATCTATGGATCATCTAGCTCATGGTGTGATGCCTTGAGAACGTTTTCCAAAGGACTGCTGGCATCAGGCTCCTCACAGGACATGCCTCGGCGCAGCAGCAGTGGGTACCTCATGTGGAGTGCGCCGGACCCCAGCACCAGCCCCGGCTCACAGGAGCTCTACGGTAACATATGGAGCAGCTACTTTAAGTTGTAGTACATTTATTTATTTATGACCACATGACCAGTAGTTACATAGCTAATCAAGGAATTTTCGTCTGGTAGGAATATTTTGCTGTCATGCTTTTAATATAACATGCCTTACAAAAATGTATATCCATAGTTTCCTTACTATGGTTACTGTAGTTCCATCCATAGTTTTCCTTACTATAGTACTATAGTTACTGCAATTATTTTACTGCTATAAAATCAATTCTGCAACACTGGGAGAAGCTTTCAGAATCTTTGTCATTCATTCATTCATTAGTTCGTTCGTTTGTTTGTTTGTTTATGGATAAATAAATCCGTTTTATTTATTCACTTATAAATGGATAACTATTTTATTTGTTTGTTTGCTTGTTACCCATTACTTAATTTTTGCAGTCACTATGGTTACTGTAGTACATTTTTGAAAGGAATTTTTGAAGGGTAGCATTTTAAGTCATTTTGCTCTTAAATGCTCTTAAATCTTAAACCAGGTTCAGTCCTTTTGCATGAGCATGTGTTTGCTAAAACCCATAACAATGTGCGTTTGGTATTTTGCTGTAAAAAATTACATAACAACAATATGAGTATAGCATGTAAAATACTCTGAATAAACCACAGCTTGTGACACCAATAGACCATAATTTTTTGAAAATAATCTATGTGCCTCTTGTAAATGGCTCCATAGATGGCAAAACATTAAGCAATAAAGTACAAGAGAACATGATACAGAGCAGAGTGACTTTTCACTTTGCATGGTTTTAGTACTTATATATAAAAACAATTACATTACAAAGCGCTTATGGAAATGTTGAAAGTTGTGGTTTTCAGCTGCTCGTTTTGTGTGTTCTCAGAGTTCGGGAATGCCCGGGCCAATGAGAACATCTTTACGGTCACTGAGGGAATTATTTGGTTTCGTTACCACAATTACCTGGCCTCCAAACTGCATAAGGAACACCCCTATTGGTCAGATGAAGAGCTTTTCCAAAATGCCCGAAAGAGGGTTATTGCCACATTCCAGGTAAAGCAGATAGTCCTCTATTACTGACTCTTTTCATGAAACAGGTGGCAATTTGGAGGGGTGTAACGCAGTATCCTTCAGTTAATATCTCCTTTGAACACTGGCGTATAAATATAATGATATATCAATCTTATTTCTGATTGGATGATCGATCTTTCCTCAGAATATAGCATTCTATGAATGGCTGCCGGCCTATCTGGGAACACCAGTGACTTCCTATCCAGGTGAGACTTGTGTGTTTGTGTGTGTGTCTTTGAATGTGTACATGCTCCAGTAATCTGTGGTTTGTCTCAGACGGCACACCCACTGACCACAGTCCGTTCACTGACCGTCACACTACAATTTGAGTTTCATTCACTTCCACTCATATGCATGTTAGCGCTTATTAATAATAATAATACTTTGATATTTATAATTTCTATAAATATAGCCAATTGCATTTTGATACAGGTATCACCTTCTTTTACTTTTAACTTAAAAAAGTGACATTTTTATAATAAGTAATAAAAATACAAATTTATTTTAAAAAATCTAAATAATAATTCGTTTTTTAAACATGTTTGAGATGCAACATTTACGATACAATTTTTGGTGACATACATAGAAAATATTTAATAATATTTAATAGTTATTTAATATAAAATGATTAGTCTATTATTGTGATATATTGAATAAAATGATCTACGTGGGTCAGATGGTCTCTTCAGTGGATGATTGTGGGCAGACGTGAGCAGACTTTATGCTGCAAGTCAAAAGAAAGGCTACACGAGACGAATCTGTGGTCTATTAAAATCTCTCTCATGGCTTGAGTAACGTGCAGTTGGCTTTGCAGTTGACAGCATGTCGTTGGCATCTACGTCATTACAGGTTAACAGATGCCAAGTATGTCATTTCTGCTGAGGGCAGTACTGTTAACAGTGGTTAGTGAAAAATCTGAGCTGATAATGGAATATATGATATGAGCTGAATCACACAGCACCGTCTTTCTGCAGGTTATCAGAAATATGTTGATCCAGGGATCTCTGCTGAGTTTGAAGCTGCTGCTGTGAGGTTTGGACTGACTCTTGCACCACCTGGTGTATATAAAAGGTACACTGCTCAAATCACTTTTGTAAAACTGTTACAAATCACTGTTTGACATAGTAACATTAACATTAAAGAATTTCTGTTAAAATACTCAAGTATTAGACTTACTTGCACTACCGTTCAAAAGTTTGGAGTCAGTAGGAAGTCTCTTATGCTCACCAAAGCTGATATTATTTGATAAATACAGTAAAAACAGTAATATTGTGAAATATTATTACAATTTAAAATAACTCTTTTCTATTTTAATATATTTTAAAATGTAATTTATTCTTGTGATGCAAAGCTGAATTTTCAGCATCATTACTCCAGTCTTCAGTGTCACATGATCCTTCAGAAATCATTCTGATATTCTGATTTGCTGCTTAAGAAACATTTGTTATTATTATCAATGCTGAAAACAGTTGTGCCGCTTAAAGGGTTAGTTCACCCAAAAATGAAAATTCTGTCATTAATTACTCACCCTCATGTTGTTCCAAACCCGTAAGACCTCCGTTCATCCTCGTAACACAAATGAAGATCATTTTGATGGAATCTGAGAGCTGTCTGACCCTGCATAGACAGCAACGCAACTGAAATGTTCCCAAGTCCAGAAACGTAGCAAGGAGATCTGTAAAATAATCCATGTGACATCAGTGGTTCAACCGCAATTATACGAAGCTACGAGAATACTTTTTGTGTGCAAAAGAAAAGAAAAAAACGACTTTATTCAACAATTCGTCTCCTCTGCATCACCCTGTAGTGCCATTTTGGAGAATATCAGCTGGACGTAAACAGCATATGCTGTTCTGTGTCAGCTGCGTCACACGGATACGCTGTTTTCATTCAGATCACATCACAACAATGTAGGAAACAGATCCTACGTTTTTGGGTGAACTAACCCTTTAATATTTTTTGGGGGGTTTTTTTATATATTTTGTTGGGATTATTTGATATAGAACAGCATTTTTTTTTAAAAGAGACTTTTTCTAATTTAATGCAATTTTGATTGCTGAATAAAAGACAAAAACAAACATCTTTAAAAAAATTAATGAATGAACAAAATTAATTATATATATTAGGGCTGTCAAATCAATTAATCGCGATTAATTGCATCCAAAATAAAAGTTTGTGTTTACATAATATATGTGCATATGTATATATAAATACACACATATATCCGTGAGGGGCTGCCACTTTTACTTTCGTTTTCTGTTTGTTTATTTATTTATTAAAGTTTTATGTTAAATGTTCACCGGTTCCTGCCTCCTTCTTCCCAATATATAATATATCAAACTGATCCCAAACTTTCAAAAGGTAGTGTACATATAAAATCCTCTATTGTATCTAAAATTGTGTTTTTGGGGATTCAGAAACAGGACATGTCACTACAAAAGTACTGTGAACAACGACGGAAGTAAATCTCCTGGCCTGCGTTTATGCAACACCTTCTGGAACCGAAATGTGAGTCATGATAGACAGGGTTTGGTTTGGATTATTATAAAAATTTCAAACATGGTGGCTTTTCCCAAGACTTCCTTTATTATATATATGTATACACACACACACACACACACACATATATATATATATATATATATATAATGGCATTTACATTTTGTTTAGAAATGACTGTTTCGAAATTATTTTAATTAAATAAAATTATAATAAAATGTTTTAGAATCCAAACCTGCAGTCCAGTCAGGATGTTGATGAGTTAATAATGGGCATGGCTTCTCAGATCGCTGAGCGAGAGGACAACATCATTGTGGAGGATTTGAGAGGTTGCTTTTTCTTTCAATTCAATTACTGACATTAAGAACATCTACTGTTTAACACATCTTCTCCATTCCTTTTCTCCATTAGACTACATGTATGGCCCCTTGCGGTTCTCGCGCTCTGATGCAGTGGCTTTGACCATCCAGAGGGGGCGTGATTTTGGGCTGCCCAGTTATAACCAGATCAGAGAGAGCCTCAACATGCGGCCGGTCAACAGCTGGGACGAGATCAACCCTAAACTGTATAACACACAGGTGCTTCCACAGCCATCAGCAAAAATCTCTCAAAAACAAATACCCAGAATGCCCATCACCCAGCCACTTATTGTTCAGATAATGCAAAAATCTAGTTTGTAATGTTCTATCTGCTTCTTTGAATCTCTTTTTCAGTTGTTAAGGGAGCTTGCAGAGTTATATGAGAATGATACCTCCAGACTTGAGCTATTTGTGGGCGGCCTGCTAGAATCACAGGAAGGACCAGGGCCAGTGTTTTCCAGCATCATCCTGGACCAGTTTGAACGCATAAGGAATGCTGATCGCTTCTGGTTTGAGAACATACAAAATGGGTGAGAGATTTTTCTTTGATGATTACTTGAAAGAACAGCTATGTCAATTTGGTCAGATGATGAGCACACTAAACACTGAAAGATATTCTTCATCTCAGGTTGTTCACTGAGGAGGAGATCCAAGCCATACGTAACACCACATTTCACAATGTCCTTCTGGACGTCACCAGTGCAGAGGAGGGTGACATTCAAAAGAATGTGTTCTTCTGGGTGAACGGTAATAAGCAACCCCCATGCACCAACATGTTCCACAAAAAATAATATTATAAAGCCATGGTGTGTTTATATTGGGCTTTTTGTACAGGTGATCCCTGCCCCCAGCCTCAGCCAATCAGAGCCTCTGATCTTCACCCCTGCATTAAGGCCTCCTCTATAAGTTACTTTGACAACAGCAGCAAAGCTGGTTTTGGCGTAACGGTGGTGGTGCTCTTCCTGTTTCCTGTTGGTCAGTGCCATTTATAAAAAATTTTGTATGCTGTCATTAAATTATAATTAAATTACAATTTCATATATTTACAAACAACTGCATTTGGTAATAATTTAATTAATGCATGAATTATTAAATCACAATTCGTATTCATAAAAATAATTTATTGAATAATTTATTACAATCAATTATTTCACTTTCAAGGGTTGCCACAAAATTGCTAAAAGTTCCTTGCTAGTTAAAATAAAGAGTTTTTGCAAGGGTGTATATGCCACCCAATCATTTTTCAACACACGTAGACTGCGACAACTTTCTGATCTCTCGACAGTAAGCTATATAGTAGCTTGTGTAGTTGCTCGTGTCCGGACAGCCAGATACAAAAGATTCCAAAAGAAGGTCAGAGGTTCTACCACAGACAAGAAACCTGCACATGAAACTATTGGTCAGTAACGTCATCTGCAGTGTCCCATTGGTCTAAAATGACAATGAAGATGAGTTTATTAACTTATAACACTGTTATTGCATTTTACTTTTTTTGTTCAGCCAAAGAGTGGTTGGGGCACAATACAGCACCCCGACAAGTCACACTTGCATTCAACGAGAAGAAAGTATTCCAGACCTTTGATAAGAATGGCTCTCTTCTCAGTTCTCACAGCTTGGGCAGTCAAGACCACCTGAATGTGTTAATATCCAATGACCATCAGCATCGTGCTCTGCTCTTGAAGATCCCCAAAGAGTATGATATGGTAGGAATTTGGTAGTTTATTCTGTTGTTGTCATTCAACTGATGCTCAACGAGACATTACGTTGTCGGATTTCTGTCCAAAAGGTTATGTTCTTTGAGGATGTTGGACAGAGGTCAAAGTTCCTGAGTCACCTGCGCTCTGAGCTGGAGGGCGGAATTCAGAATCTGACCGTGATGGAAATGAGTGAGAAAGAACTTCTTAGAGATGCAGTGACCAGAGCACAGAGGGAAATGATTGTGGAGACGTTTTTTAAGCACGCTTTTTCAAAGGTATGTGTTTCTGTTCTCTCTTCATACGTCTACAAGGTCATTTTGTCTTCATTCCACTGACAAAGTGTCTCAAAGTTGAGAGGTAGCATCTTCCATGTGTTTTTTGACTCCAGGTCTTGGACATTGATAAAAGTGATGCAGGAGACTTGAGCAATAGGACCAGAGAAGCTTTACAGTGTGAGCTCACACGAGTTGAATTCGCCAGCGTGCTCGGTCTGAAGCCTGACTCGCTCTTTGTGGAGTCCATGTTCACACTGGCTGACAAGGATGGCAATGGATACCTTTCGTTTCAGGAGTTCCTGGATGTTATTGTTATTTTCATGACAGGTGAGGTTGTTCAAATCTTTTGTAATGCAGTTCAGTGTTTCAATATATGTTGTCACCATTTTAAAATACTGCCAAGTTACAGTGTTACAATGTTGTGATGTTACAATGCTACAAATTTACCTTGTTAGGATTTTGCCGTTTTACAGTGTTACAAAGTTAGAATGCTACAATGTTACACTGCTACAAAGTTAGGTTGTTAGGATGTTACAGTTTTACAATTTTACAGCGTCATGATGTTACAGTGTTGCAGTTTTATGATTTTACAATGCTACAAAGTTACCTTGTTAAGTTAGGATTTTACAGTTTTACAGTGTTACGATGTTAGAAAGTTAGAATGCTACAATGTTACACTGCTACAAAGTTAGATTGTTAGGATGTTACAGTTTTTCAATTTTAGTATTTCAATGTTACAATGTCATGATATTACAGTGTTAAGATGCTACTAAGTTAACTTCTTACAATGTTAGGATGTTACAGTTTTACTATTTTACAGCGTTATGATGTTACAATGTTACATTGTTACAGTTTAATGATGTCACAATGCTACAAAGTTACGTTGTTAGGATATTATAGTTATACAATTTTACAGTGTTTTGATGTTAGAAGGCTGTTATGTTACAATATTATGTTACAATGCTACAAACTTAACTTTTTATGTTGTTATAATATTACAGTTTTACAATTTACAGTGTTACGATGTTCTGATGTTACATAGTTAAGATGTTGCAGTGCTACTAAGTTAACCTTTTAGGATGTTACAATTTTACGGTGTTATGTTACAATGTTCATTTTATGATTTTACAATGCTACAAAGTTATCTTGTTACATTGCTAAAATGTTACAGCTTTACAATTTTGTGACATTCCAATGTTACAAAGTAAACGTACGTTGTTAGAATGTGACAATTTTACAGTGTTATGGTGTTGCTATCTTGTGTTGGTTAGAGTGTTAAAGTGTTTTTGGCTTTCAAATCCAGGTACTCCCGAGGAGAAGTCTAAGCTTTTGTTTTCAATGCATGACATTAAAGGAGATGGCTTCTTGTCCAAGGAAGAGTTCACTTCCTTACTCAGGTCGGTTCTGATGTTTTTTGAGCGTTGTAGAGAACAAAAGTATTTTTTTCAAAGACTCTTTTCTTTTTTTTGAGATTCAGATGATATAATTTTACAAGTCAATAAAGTTTCTCTGAAAGATTTCTTTTTTCTGCTTGTCACTTTCCTCTTGTCTTGTACAGGTCTTTCATTGATATCTCTGGAAGTGCTCTATCTAAGAGTCAGGCTGATGATGGCATAGCAGCCATGCTTCGGGCAGCTGGACTTTACAACAAAGATTGCTTCTCCTGGGAGGACTTTCACTTTCTGCTGCGAGACCATTCAGCTCAGCTCAATTTTAAAGGTTAAGGATATATTTTTCTTTATGGTCTAATCCCCCATGTCTCTATATTTACAGTGGGGCAAAAAAGTATTTAGTCAGCCACCAATTGTGCAAGTTCTCCCACTTAAAAAGATGAGAGAGGCCTGTAATTTTCATCATAGGTATACCTCAACTATGAGAGACAAAATGAGAAAAGAAAATCCAGAAAATCACATTGTAGGATTTTTAAAGAATTTATTTGCAAATTATGGTGGCTCAATACAGAGGCATTTTACTTTGAAACTGTTGTTCATGTATTCCCAGGCATGGAAGTACTAAGTAAGAAAAAACTAGCCAGACAACAGCGAGTATCTTTCATTAAGAAAAATAGGTAAAGAAAAAATATATAACATAAAATCCATTTGGCGCTTTTTTACAAATAAGTACACAGTAATACAGCTAAGTTGTTTTTTATTTCTTTTGTAGTACTTCAGCAGTGGAAGTGCTTACTCACAGGCCTGAGGGGGAGCAAGACCAGGAACTTCGTCAAAGACAGACCAAGAAGTGAGAAGTTAATGCAATGGTTATATCGGAATATCCTGTGAATATCCTGTGAGGTCCACTTCATAGGGCACTTATGGTCGAATAGAACAAATGTCTGAAGTGATAAGAGCTGCATACAAAATGTGCAGAGCGGTGGGTCGCAAAGATTTGGAACTGAGAACCACTGCGTTAATGTATAATATCGCTGTCATGGTCATTTTAGAGCATGTGTTGCATTACGAAACATGTTCTGGCGTGTATGGTCATTAGGAGTTCAGCTAGGTGTTACATTTAAGCCTTTGTGAAACCCATCATTTGTTGGCTATTGAGAAATGTGGCAATCAGTATTTGTGGGAAGTGATGCTATTCTGTGACGTAATATTGGTCAGTTTTCCCTTTGAAGGTCATCATTTTTAGTTAACTGTGACAAAATTAAACGGGCTAATGCAGTACTAGATAGTAACTAGATTTGTACATATTTTGAAGACATTGTGAATGGTGATGACCTGTACAATAGCCACAATAGTTTGGCAGGATGTTACTATGCAATTGCAGACAGTTAACTAACTAAATAGGCAGACAGACTGATAAATAACTAACTAGACCAGGGGTGTCCAATCCTCCTCCTGGAGGGCCACTGTCCTGCAGAGTTCAGCTCCAACCCCAATTAAACACACATGAACCAGCTAATCAAGGTCTTATTAGGTATACTAGAAACTTAGTCAATCCATTTAGTCAATCCACCTGACAGTATGTCTTAATTAGTTATCTACCTGACTGTCTTTCTATTTATTTCCCAATCTAGGGTTAACTATCTGGCTGTTTCTCTGTCTATTTAGTTGATTATCCACCTGTCTGTCTGTTCAATTAGTTAGAATGACAGCAAGGTAGATAACTGAATAAACATACATGAAGACAGGTGGATACCTAAACAGACAGAAAGACAGCAAGATAGATAACAATCTAATTAGTCTGTCTAACCTACTAACTAGCTAGACATACATTGATAAAATTGTGAGTCTGTTAGAAAAGATACAGCCACCTGAATCAGAACAGGCTGAAGGACTGTGCCAAAGTTGCCTTATAAAAAAACTCAACCCAAGTTTGAAGGTATGTTGTTTTTGTCAAGCCACCCTAGTTAAAGCGGAATATGTTCTGTTTCCCTTGTTAGAATTGGACAAAGCAGCCCTAAGGTATATGTGAGGCCTCAGAGAGAGCGCTACAACAGGAACGCAGTGCAGCAATGCATCCAGCAGTTCAAACGCTTCATAGAAAACTACAGAAGACATATAATTTGCATGGTCATTATATACGGGATCACAGTTGGACTTGCACTGGAAAGGTGCTACTGTAAGTGTCCCTTTATGTTCTCTCTTTTCATCTCTGAACATTTTATTGTGCATATTTAAGGCTAACTTGATTTATTGTGATCATGTTGAATTGTTCCTATTTTTTTTCAACACTGGAGATCCACACTAATAGTTGCAAACCAATAGCAATGTTTGTAGATTATGGTTTACAGGCCCATGCCAGTGGTATCCCAGAGACCTCCATAGTGGGTGTGCTCGTGTCTCGCGGTTCTGCGGCCGCAATCTCCTTCCTGTTTCCCTACATGCTCCTCACTGTGTGCCGTAACCTGATAACCATGTGCAGAGAGACTTTTCTCAACGGATACATCCCATTTGATGCGGCCATCGACCTTCACCGTCACATGGCTGTGACTGCTGTCGTCCTCTCAGGTCAGAAGAGAAAAATTCCCTTTGCGTGCAAAACGCCATCTATTACTTGAACTTCCTTATGTGCCCTCTCAAAAATTATTTACCACAGATATGATTCATTAGAATCTTACGTCATCACGTTTATGTTTTAATACTTTGTGTGTCAAACTTGTGCAGTTTATGGCATATGTGATTCACAATTGAAGAATTTAATTGCCAGGGTTCAAAGTTCCATTTCGTAATGTAACATTTCCTTAAAGTCATGTGCTATACAGTACATCAATTATATTCATGTATGTAATTTATTTATTTATTTTTTTGGTGCCAGTTGTTCACAGTTTGGGGCATGTGGTCAACGTTTACGTTTTCTGCATCAGTGACCTCAATATCCTTGCCTGCCTGTTTCCTAGAGTGTTCTCCAACAATGGGTAATTCATGCTATCAATCTTGAGATACACACATACTGTACATACAGTGGGTACGGAAAGTATTCAGACGCCCTTAAATTTTTCAATACTTTCCGTACCCACTGTATATACATATATGTTCTGAGAACATTCAAAAATAATATTTTTATTACTTAATGGGAACATAAAGCATTCTTAGAGCATATTTTTGTTATCTGGGAACCTCTATTAGTGTAGGAGCCTTGTCCAAGATTCTCTGTGTTGATCATTTGCAGGTCTGAGCTTCCAATGAAATGGACCTTCTGGTTTTTCAAGACAGTTCCTGGTATAGCTGCACATTCAGTGTTGTTTTGATATATTCAGTATTAAATTCAGTTGATTATTTTTCTAGATGTGTGTTTGCTGTAGCTCTGTTTTGTTTTTCTTTCAGGTCTCACTGGGGTTCTTTTGCTGTTGATTTTTGCCTTTATGTATGTCTTCGCCTCACACTATTTCAGACGCATCAGCTTTAGAGGATTCTGGATCACACACCACCTATATGTGCTCGTCTATGTCCTGGTAAAGGGAAAAAAACAACTATTAATTTATGAGTTTTATTAGAGTGTTTCAGCTTTAGTATTATGTACTAAAAAAAATTTTGAAATATAGTTAAAATTCAGATAGTAAGAGAGCAAAAGAAAAAAATAACCAGAAATGATTGGTTAGAATACTTATTTACATTTTTGTTTAAAAAAAACTAAAAATTGTTTTCCAATTTTGAAATTAAAAGAAACGACAACAATAATAAAAAATATATTTAGTTTTTTGTCTTTATTTCAAATCAGCAATTTGATCGTTCTCAGCCATTTTTGTTTTGTTTTGTTGTCAAAGTTACATGTCTGGCAGGCACATTGGACACAGGAACTGTGAATACTGACTTCCTCTCTGTCTCTCTCATCTCATTTTGCAGACGGTGATCCACGGCAGCTACGCCCTCCTCCAGGAGCCCCGCTTCCACATCTACCTGATCCCCCCTGGCCTCCTCTTCCTCCTGGACAAGCTCATCAGCCTCAACAGGAATAAGGTGGAGATCCCAGTGGTGAAAGCCGAGCTGCTGCCCTCAGGTAGACAATACGCTCAGCAGATCCAGCACAAAGCTCTTTTTATCTCAGAGTCTCCAAGGGCCTGAGCACACAGTGGTGTGTCATGTGCTGTAAAGTGCGCACTTCTAATTGCTCTGGCTGTGAAATTATACAGCGTCTCAGAACTGGAATCTCGAGTCAAATCCAGGAGTCACTTTATTGATTTTAAAATTAAATTATGTCTAAAATCACCAATTGGATAACAATTTCACACCAAAAGTAAAATTAATAAGCCTCAAGCTGAAGGAAGGGCTTCTGCCTCTGCACTTACTCCCAACTTCTCTCAACACAGGGACAGGAGAGGTGACTTGCATTTCTTTTTTGAAAAAAGAACTTTGAATTGAAGTAATGCGTTACTTTACTAGTTACTTGAAAAAGTCATCTGATTACATAACTTGTGTTATTTGCAATGCTTTACCCCCAACACTGACTATAAGTAACTTTGCATGTACATGTAAACTTAAACTAAATCTAACCTTAAAATAACATAAAATAAACAGTCTACTAAAACTCTAATGAGAGTTAGTTGACATGTACTGGCAAAGTTATTTATAGTAGAATGTCTAAAGTGGACTAGTAGCACTGATAACCCGATTCTCAATTTTCTCTGAACTGGCAGATGTAACTTACCTGGAGTTTAAGCGTCCACAAGGTTTTGTCTACCGCTCGGGACAGTGGGTACGTATTGCATGCCTGGCGCTGGGCACAGATGAGTACCATCCTTTCACCCTGACCTCCGCACCACATGAGGAGACCCTCAGCCTTCATATCCGTGCAGTGGGACCCTGGACCAGCAAACTCCGAGAGGCCTACACCCCTGAGAATCTCCAGGAGCTTGGAGGATATCCAAAGGCAAGGATACACAGATTGTGTTTGGATCATATAGATGTAGATAAACCTGAATGCATTAGGTTCTCCTAATATATATATGCCCTGATACTAACTTTAAATTTAGCTGATAATGATAGCTGGTTATTCAGAATTATATCTGCAGATACCAATACTATACAGGGAGGCCCTTCATACTAATACCAATACTATAGAGCCCCTTCATTTGGTACAGAACTATTATATTCAATGCTATTTATTTTCAGATATATTAATCCTTCGTGTTGCCACTTGAGCTGAGGCGCTACAGCGATCTGTTGAGTGTAAAAAGATGTTGTTTCTTATCAGAAGTAACAAAGCTATTTGCAATTATTGGATGGGAGACACGCTACCAATAATGTTTGATCAAGGGATAACCACAGACCTGGCAACCCTGGCTTGAACTAAGAGTGATTCGTAGGGTCAAATAAAACCCACATTTAAAAAAAATATCCAGAATAGTTCAACTTTTATGTTTCTTGGCATGAATGAATGACCCTGTTGTATCTCCACAGCTGTATCTGGACGGGCCGTTCGGGGAGGGTCATCAGGAGTGGACAGACTATGAGGTGTCAGTTTTGGTGGGTGCTGGGATTGGAGTCACACCCTTCGCTTCCATCTTAAAAGACCTGGTGTTCAAATCTTCAGTCAAGTTCAAATTTCACTGCAAAAAGGTACAATACAGCCTTTAAAATAGTTTTCAATGTCCTATAATTAATGATTACATTTTTAATGACTCTTTACATGTCCTCTAACTCCAGGTGTATTTTATTTGGGTGACACGGACTCAGCGTCAGTTCGAGTGGGTGTCTGACATCATAAGAGAGGTGGAGGACATGGATGTACAGGAGCTGGTGTCAGTGCACATCTACATCACACAGCTGGCTGAGAAATTCGATCTCCGCACCACCATGCTGGTAAATCCATTGTTTATATGAGAATGATAAGAGGTTTTATTGGTTTATATGGTTGCTGTAAGTTCCACTGAACTACTGTGATGAAATTAAAAGCAGGTTAACTGATATGAAGTTATGGTTGGGTGTAAAATCAATCACCTCTCTCTCTTTCTCAAGTATGTCTGTGAGCGGCACTTTCAGAAGGTGTGGAACAGGAGTCTGTTCACCGGCCTGCGCTCCGTCACACACTTCGGCCGCCCACCCTTTTTGGCTTTTCTCAGCTCGCTACAGGAAGTTCATCCAGAGGTCAGAAGCCAAATAATTTGCATCTAAGATGCATTGGAGCTTTACCGTTAAACTCCACCAAGGATGATAACTATAATTATAAAGTTTTTAATAATCATTCTATTTCTATGATAATAGGAAAGTTTATTGATATAATTATCGTTAAAGTTATTTTTGGGGTTATCGTTGTAGTTATAGTTATCTTTATCGTAATGGTTAATCTTTATCATTAAAATTATCGTTACAGTTATCCTTATAGTTTTCTTTATTGTTATTGTTATAGTTATTGTTAGTTATTTTTGTAGTTATCGTTGTAGTTATCATTATAGTTACCTTAATCGTTATAGTCATTATTTTAGTTATTGTTATTGTTATAGCTATATTTATCATTATAGTTATCTTTATTGTTATAGTTATCTTTATCATTATAGTTATTGCTATAGTTATCTTTATAGTTATCTTTATTGTTATAGTTATCGTTAAAGTTCTTTTTGTTGTTATCGTTGTAGTTATTGATATAGTTATCTTTATCTTTATCGATATGGTTATCGTTATCATTAAAATTATCTTTAACGTTACAGTTATTCTTATAGTTATAGTTATCTTTATTGTTATAGTTATAGTTATTGTTAGTTATTTTTGTAGTTATCGTTGTTGTTATTGTTATGGTTATCATTATAGTTACAGTTATCCTTATTATAGTTATTATTTTTATCGTTATAGTTATCATTATCATCTTTATAGTTATTGCTATAGTTATCATTATTGTCATAGTTATAGTTATCGTTAAAGTTATCTTTATCGTTACAGTTATCCTTATTGTTACAGTTGTCTTTACAGTTGTAGGGCCTTTACTGTTGCATTTTTGTAATTCTTCCTGTATCAGTAAATATTTGTGATTCATATGGGATCTTGTGAAAGGAGTAATTTTGATTTTTAGGTTAATAAGTAATTTAATCAGATCATTGTGACAGTTACATCAACCTCACGTACACCACTGATGATTTTTCTTTGTTAAAGGTGGAGAAGATCGGCGTGTTCAGCTGTGGTCCTCCCGGTCTGACTAAGAATGTTGAGAAGGCCTGCCAGCAAATGAACAAACGTGACCAGACACATTTTGTTCACCACTATGAGAACTTCTAGGCTGTATGATTGAATAAAATAAGAAATACTTGACAACGAATCACTGAATCATCAATATTGATTCATTTTAAATAGCCTGGAGTCCATTATTCCATTTCAAACAGCCTGAGTTGCCATTACTAGTTGGTAAAGAACATGTTGAGGTCATATGAAAGTATAATGCGGTCAACAAATCAGTTATGCTAAATAAATCACTTTTAGTACCAAATATATTAGGATTGAATTTCATATAAAGAAACAGATTATAGATTAGATCTTTTGGAGGTATGCAAAATCATTTTTCCATTGTTTTCTGTATTTGTCTCGTTGAATGCAAACGTACATACATATGATGTACATTCTATGTAACAAATGATCAATAAATGAAGTGTTATTCCATTTTTGTCTGTAATGTAGTTGTCATTTGTTATTGTTGATGTTTCATTATCATTATCACTAAAAGGACTGATCAAATTCCACCTACAGCTTTTTTGATTACATTTATTTTCCTTTCTTCTTTGATGATACTCCTTACTGTACCTTCAAATCATTCAAAATACATTAAAGATGTGACAGAATTCACATTCAGTGCATTCAGTCACATTCAGTTTCCCCTCTAAGAATGTTTAGTTGCTTGTGGAAGGGGTTTTCCCCTTTAAGAGATTTATGTTTTGTTTGTTCATTAAAAGCAATAGCCAGTTCACGGCTTTTCGTACAATTTTGAGGTCATCCGTGTTCATTTAATCGCGCAAACTCCTATAACATGGTAATTGCCGAAACAGCAATGAAACTCGTGACAGAGTGCTGGCAGACAATATCACTTTTGGGATTGTGAATATGATCAGCACAACAACAATTGCCAGAGTCCAAGAGAAACATAAAATAAGAATGAAGCAACGTGTGTATAAAAGAACTCCACACGTACACACTGCAGGTCACGATATTTGGGTGTGTGGCTTATTTCCAAGATAACACATTTGGGTTTGAGTCTTTTAAGGGCTTTTTTTTTGTTCTAGCAAGATCTGTCAACACTTGAGTCAAAACATATCCTGTGATTTCTTGCACCACACATACAGAAAAGACACTGATGCACAAACTTTTTATAAAGGCTTTTGATATAAAACTTGTGTATATTATATCTTGGATGTGTAAAGTCAAAATGTATCAAAGACTTCTGCTTTCCTGTCCCAAACCTATCTTCAGTAACAAAAGGCATGGCATTCACTCTGTCTCTTTCCTTGGCTGCCTCTTTTCTTTGTTGCCTCTTTTCTTTGTTGGAGCTCTTCTTGGGTCTCTGCCCTCTCTCCCTCTTTTTCTTCCTCTCTCTATTCCCCCCTCTCTCTATCTCTCAGGTAATATTTTACATGTTGGTTACAATTAACTATACTTTACCATCCTTCATCTATTTTGTAACCAATTCAAGTGTAACCATTAACTGACACAAAGGAACACTCACGCTATACCTGACGACATGAACAATACCGGACGCTGGAGCACACACAGGGAACCCTATTTACACACACAGGAGGAGGGGATGACGAGACACACCTGGGAGCAATGAAACATCAAGGGAAACACCTGGGACAAATTAACCATGGGAAAGGAAGGCACATGGGGAGCAAAACAACCACAAAACACAGAACAGAGTCTGAAAATTTATTAGTACAAATGAAGCACATATTAATGCCTTATTCTACATTACCTTATTCTGCATCCCTAATCCTACCCAATACCTAAACTTAACAACTACCTCACTAACTATTAATAAGCTGCAAATTAGGAATTTATTGAGGGAAAATTCGTAGTTAATAGTGAATAAGTGTTCCCTATTCTAAAGTGTTACCGCAAGTGTATATCTCACAATTGTTTCTTTTTATTCCAAATCGCGAGATATGAAATCACAATTCTGAGTCAGAAGTTGGAATTGTGAAAAAAAGTAACAATTGTGAGATGAGAAAAGTCACAATTACCTTGTTTTATTATTATTATTATTATTATTTAGTGGTGGAAACGGACTTCCATAATTTTCTGATTTATGGAGTTAGAGATCCTAAATCCTTTCTGCAAACACTAGCTCAAATATGTCAACAAAAAGAAATAGGAATTTTGAACTTCCAAATCTATGCAAATTATGGCAAATTTAATTAGATAATGGTGCATTTGTATATTTAAACATAAAATTTCAGAGAACGTGTAAAACAAAACAATTGCATTAATGTACTGTGGTTAATCAAGTGTGGAAGTATAGTGAGATGTATTAGTTAAAATGTTGACTCTACTAACCTTTGGTGTCTAAACAAATAAATAAACAAACAAACGAATGAATGAATGAATGAAAAGTTGTTAGTTATCACAACTTAAAATTCAACATTAGACTGAAGTAATGTGTTCAAAAAAGTATGTAAAGTGTAGATAACTTTAGTTTAGTTAAGTTGGATAAGTTATCTCAACAAAACTTAAGTTCCCTTTCAGTCGGTCACTCTCGACGTCACGTCGGAGGACTGACGAAATTGGGATCTCGCTTAGAGGGACCAATCTACTTCGAGTGTAAACTAAACGAGCCAATGCACATTGGCATGCGATTATTGCATCCAGCTGCTGCTGATCACAGCGTGAGTATAAGTAGGCAGCAGGTGCAGCGCATATTCAGCTTTTCGCTTCGGAGCCGAGCGATCACATCGTTCCGCTCCTGACTACTCTACGGAGAGAAGACTGAACGAGTTCAGCACGCTCTTGGAGAGCTCTTCATGTTGGCGGACGGCGCTTCAGCGGTGGTGGTTTCCCGTGTCGAGTGGGTTGCACACATCAGGCTGCACTACCCCCTGATTGTGTTGCAAATGATCATCTCCCCTGTGCGCCTCAGCACGCTAAAAGAGCTTTTTCCCCTAAAAGAGCAAATTCGGGTGCGTCTTTCTAAAGACGACGTTGCTTGGCAAACTTGACGTTACGTCTTTATAAAGACGATGTGGATCTTGCTATCTCGGGAGGCCAAGGCGGAGCAGGGGACTCGGGAGGCCAAGGCGGAGCAGGGGACTCGGGAGGCCAAGGCGGAGCAGGTAGTTTAGGAGGCCATGGCGGAGCCGGAGCATCAGGAGGCCATGGCGGAGCAGGTAGTTTAGGAGGCCATGGTGAAGCAGCCTCCGAGGCCGCGGCCCAAACCCCCGCCTCTACGGCTGGAGCCTTACTACCCCCCCCCCCAAAAAAAAATACTTGGGGAAATTTATGGGGCTGTACTCGGGGCCTGGAGCACTCCCTGGGCTTAACGGGGGATCAGGAGGAAACAAAAACTTTCAAAAACACAGAAATAAAACCCAGCGAAGGGATGCCGCTTACTGTTGATTCTGGTATTCTGTCACGGGTGCACTGCTGAGCGGACTGAGGAGCAAGGAACGGAGAGAGACAAGGAGTACATTAATCCAAATGGGTTTAATTGACACCATGGAACATTCACGCTATACCTGGCGACATGAACAATACCGGATGCTGGAGCACACACAGGGAACCCTATTTATACACACAGGAGGAGGGGATGACGAGACACACCTGGGAGCAATGAAACATCAAGGGAAACACCTGGGACAAATTAACCATGGAAAGGAAGGCACATGAGGAGCAAAACAACCACAAAACACGGAACAGAGTCTGACACTGTATGTGTGAATTATTATATTACATTATACTATAATATATTATATTATATTAAGTGTAACGCTTATGGACTTTTTGTTGTGTTTCTCTATCTTCCTGTTCACCTGCCCTGTTTAGTTCTGTTGCCCTAATGTCCTATGAGTCCTGATTTGTTTCTATGGTGATGTATTAGTTTCAGATGTGTCTCATTTATTTACCCAGTATTTATGCTCCCTGTTTTATTCTGGTCTCTGTCGGTTATTTGCTTTACCATTGTGTGTGCTACGTTTGCTCCTGAGATTCTCCTGTGTGTATTCCTTGTGGATTTATAATTAAAAATGTTTGGATAATACTCCTTCGTTGTGCACTTTAAATAACACAACACATTATGATCAGTTATGTTTTTGCACTGGGAAAAGGAATATCAGGATAAACACAATAATATAAATGCAAAAAGAAGAAAATATTTAAATATTTAAAATGATATGGTGATGATATTAATAGCTGTCTCGGTTTACTGTTCAGCACTTCTTTAAGTGTTCTTGGATTATAACTTAATGGGCTGATTTAAAGGGGTCATATGACGCGATTTCAAGTTTTCCTTTCTCTTTGGAGCGTTACAAGCTGTTTGTGAATAGATAAGATCCCTAAAGTTACAAAGACTAAAGTCTCAAACCCAAAGAGATATTTTTTATAAAAGTTAAGACTCGTCCACGCCCTCCTAAAACACCTCATTTAAACACGCCCCCACATGTCTACGTCACTGTGTGGGAAGATTTGCATAACGCCGCCCAAATGTTCACGCAAAGAAAGAAGGCGTAACTTTATTGTTGCTGCCGCCATGTTATGAAGACGCTGTGTGTTTCGTTGCGAAAGCGAACATACTTTGTTTGGTCTTCCAAAAGAGGACACGACTAGAAATCAGTGGTTAAGTTGTATTTACAACACTGCTCCAGAACAGTTCAGCCCAAATATTCAGATGTGTGCAGCACATTTTATGGAGGACTGTTTCCTGATCCTGGGAGAGTAGACTACAATGCTGGCTGTTCTGACTCACAGACGTAAGTATATTATACAATTTTACAATTCAAAAATAATCTACATCTATAATTAAGATATACTACTATATAAACAATCAAATATATACATCGATTTTTCAATTGAAATATATTTACATTTTTCAACAAAATTAATATTTATCTCATAAATAATTTTAATTAAATATATTAAATTTTATTCAAATACAGCTCATTTTACATATAAATTACATATTTACTATTAATTTAATATTATATTTAATATTTTTTATAATATTAAATTAGAAAGATTCTACAATCACAGGTCAAAATTAATTTACAATTAAAATAGCTTTGTAAAAATCGACACGTTTCAGAAAGGCGGGGCATAGAGGA